TATTTCCGCAAAAAGCACTGATTTCTTACAGTAGGAAGTGTAGACAGCTGGCAAGTTTTTCCAGAAAAGCGGCTGATTTTCCGGAAAAACTGGCCAGTCTAGACACAGCCCTACAGTGCGTTAGGCTGCTGCCCCCAAACTGCATGTTTATTACAGATATCAAGTCCTGCCTGCCCTGGCTTCTGTGACTTCACAGTGAGAGGGGGCAGGGAGCCGCCTTAGCCCCGCTAGCAGCTTTTAACTGCCTGGCCCGCAGCGCGGACCCCCGGCAACCCAAGTGGCAGAGAAGAAATTCGGAAGCGGGGAGACACCCGCGTGCAAATCAGCTGTTCCTGTCCTGCCTACGACCCATGCTTGGGAGTCCTCGGGCAGCTCTAGCACAAGCCTCGGACTACAACTCCCAGCATGCCGTGGTGCACGAATAGGCCTACCGTACCCAGACGGTAGAGCAGTGCATGCTGGGAGTTTTAGTTTTCGCGTCTGAAATCCCCGCTTGGCAGAGGAAGGAGCGTTGCATGCCGGGAGCTGTAGTCCCTGCCTAGCGACTGTCCCGCTGCCCAAGTGGCTCCGTTTCCCACCAGCGCGTGGGGCCTTTCCCGCTCCCAGTGACCCTGCCCGAATCCGCGAGGGCCCCCGCAAGCAGGGGGCGGCGCTCCAGCTGCTGCCGCTGCCTCTCAGGGGCTCTCGAGCTGCGTCCGCCTCAGTGCCCCGTGAGGGGAGGGTTGAGATAGTTGCTCCCCGTGAGAGGAGACACTCTGGCCGCGGCGCCGCGCTTCTCTATGGTCTCCCTAACTCCCCTCCCCCACCCACACTTCCTTGTGGTTCAGCCGGGGACTCTCTAGCCCACGGCTTTCTCTGTTGCCGCGCGGGGGCGCTCTAGCCGGAGACTCGGTGGCCGGGGAGGCCGGGTTTGTTGAGGCGATGGCGCTGGCGTTCGGCTTCGAATTCGAGGACTCGGTTTTTGCCCCGAGCAGGGAGCGGGGCCGGGGCGGCGGCTGCGCGGCCTACGCCGCCCCGCCCCGCGGCGCCCCGGG